TCTTTACCTTATACTTTCAGAGAAAGGAATGCTTCAAAAAGAAAAATTGAAGTCATAAAAGCTTTATATCCAGGAAAAAAAATCATTTTATAGGTGTTTTCTTGCTGAACTTATTCTGAGGCTTCTTGTCTGGCTGGCATGTGTGCGTGTCTAAGTTTCTTCTCTCTCTAGTTTTCTCCACTCCCTCTTTTTCCTCCTCCCCTTTTCTCCCCCACCCTGAGATGCTATCTGCATGCCGAGCTTGCAGCAGTTTAGGGGCAAGTCCAAGTGTCCGGCTGTACCGAGTACAGGACATCAGGAAGTCTGCAGAGGTTTGGAAAGAAGTTTCAGTTACTTTTTCATAGTGCCATATAAGTGCTATGATGTGTAATGGGTGTTGAAATTAAAGTTGCTCTGAATGAAATTCCGTTTCATTTTAGCAGGACAACAAAAAAAAGCATGACTTTTTTCCTCCTAGCTTAATGATTAAAGAAGTAATTCTCACTGCATAACAAACTTGAATTTACTATATCTGAATGATCAGTAGCCATTGTGGAATAAATTGACTTATTTAATTTTCTGCACTAGGAAGCTGGCAGTATGTGCTGTATTTTGTGTGCTTAACTGGGGGAAGTATTTTCTGATAATTGTTTGAAGAACTTCCCTGGCTCTGTAGTTCCCATACTCTTCAAATGTGGACTAATTTGAGATGCACTATTTTTAGAAGTGATTAATAATGCTTCTTTTAAAAGCAAAACTCTTCATCTTATCTTTGATGAAAAGTTGAGAGTAGAAGAACATCATAGTTACAGTAATACGCCACTGTAGCATATTCCCATCCCGTCATCTGGAAAATTAAATCAGGTTGCAGCACGGATTGACATTTGGGCTGTTGAGGAGGGGAAGGCAGCATCTTAAATGTCATGAAATTGAACAGTGGGATTATACTCAAAAATTAGCTGTGGACTTTATACTTCTGTACCTTTTCACTGAATGTGATTCTGTAGGGTAGGGCTGTGCTAACTTTTAGAACTTTGAAACTTTGTGAACTCGGTGTGTTCATGTAGTGTGGAGTGATGGGTTTGGTCTGTCTCTTTACTAATATTCCATGAATACCTGGAGTGTACAAAACTGAAATGCTGCTGTGACAGTTGCAGGAAAATATTACTCTTCTGTCACAGGAAAACGGTATTGTCCTTTCTCCCATATTTTCAAAATGAAAAGTATGTTGAGTGACAGAAATTTCACATACTGTTCATGTGAGAAGTGACTCAGCTGTTCTGTTGGTAGTTTCCCTAAAAACTGCCTCTTAAAAACAGCGACAGAGGAAGCAGCTTCAAAAATAACCGCGTGGTTTGTTTTGTTTGTATGTTGTTTTGTTTTTGTGTTTTCTAACTGTTTCTCCTTAGAAGAGAGCATCTGTTGTGGGTAATACAGAATAGTGGATCTGTAGGGTTTTGGCCAAACTGCATTTTATGGCAGGAGCTGCTTTGCATGGAGCTTTGTCTTCTGGGAATAGCGTTTATAATGATGTTCATGAGGTTGGTAAGTGAATCTGCTCTGACTTCCATGAAGTCACTCAGAAAACATAGGGAAGTTCACGACGTGCCATTGGATTAAAAGGTCTTCAAGATGAGTATAAACATTAGCAGTAAAATGAATTTGACTTTTCTTAGCGCAGATTTATTCTGAAATCTGTCTCTTTATGTTTCATTGCATTTGTACCCATACAGGAGGGGAGGCTGCAAATAAGATAGTGTATTTTAGTTTCCTTTTGGAATAGTATGTACATTCTGCTTTACATCTGTTACAGCCTAGGAATTCCCAGTGCAGTATTTCAGCGTGCTGTTAATACTCATGTTTTGTCAACAGTTGCTAATGGCAGAAATACAAATCTTGTCATCTTTTGTGAGCTGAAACCTACAAAATCAGATGTGATAAACATAAATGTGAGATAATTGTTACCATCAATGCAGAAGCTCAACCTGTGGCACAATTTGAAGTTTATCTTGTGAACCAGTTCCATAATTCGTACGACATTTTTCTTAATGTGAGCTTTCACTTTGTCTGTTCATTGGTTTGCAGTGTGTCCTTTTGCTGACCTGAGCTTTTAATGCATTGTAACTGTGGATGAGTGGCGCACTGGAAGCCTTCAAGCTCTTTACTTCATTGACTATGGAAGAGGTTGGTTAGAAGGATTTCAGGCTATCTATTCCTCTGAAGTTTGCAAATGGATTACCTTCTCCGAGCTTGGAAGAAGTTTTTTACATGTATTTACTTTGCCCGTGGAGCATAAAAATGGAAACATGTTTGAACATAATTGTGTTAGGTCTTAGGATTAGAACCTCTAATAAGTGTTCAATGTGAAGGGTTTTTTTATTGTCTGGAGATACAGTGGAGCTACATCTCTTCCATTCTGTCTGCATACAGTGTGCAAAGCAAACTAGCGTTAGTCCAAGTGTTCAAGGATTTTAAGTTAGTTTTGGCTGATAGGCAAAGTTGGCAGTCAGTTAGGAAATATTCGGTTAAAACATGGGCATGTGAGTACTGAAGGGTATTTTGCTGATGCTCGTGGTGATTATTAAACTCGAATGCTGAATTCCTGTTCAAGCTGCCTTTCTGTGTTCTTCAGTTTGTATGCCTGTTCTTCCCTGTTTTGAAGAATTTGGAGATTGTGTCTGTCGTGATTTAGAGCAGGTATAGATAATGAGGTAGCTTGTACTTTTTTTTTTTTTTTTTTTTTTTTTTTTCAATGGAGAGCCTACCTTACTGAGTAATGGTGGTGTTTGTTTCATAGATCTTTTATTTCATAAAGGCAGTGTCTGTCTCACTTTATTGTGTATCTAAGCAGAGTTGAAAATACCTCTTAAAAAAAGATTGTATCAGCAGTGAAGAATAGAGAAAGCTAAGAAAGCTGTAACAGTGTGTGACGTGTTCTCTTTCCATTGTATAGTGTTTTCCAAATAAAGATACTGAAAGTTTAGTAAACATTCCCAGACCATTTAAAAGCTGAAATGACTGAGCGGATGCAGTATAAAATATACAGTACTTGTAAAAACGTGCGGACGTGCAAGCATGTGGTAGCCAGGTGTAAATTAAAGGTGACTTTCTCAACTGTTGGGTTCCAGATTATGTAGACTAGCTGTTTGGATGCTGTTGTGAGACTTATCATCAGAAGCAGACTGTATCCAAACCATATATCCCAATGTCTTAATTAACCGAGGTTGTCAGGAGTGAATCCACCAAGCACTTTGTGCATCTAAGTTTGTATTTCTGTTTTTTTCCACTGAAATTTGTGGATGAGAAATTAAGTTAAATTTCATGCAACATGGATTTAATTAATTTCTTCCAATGTATGCAGTTGATTGACATGGAAAGTTTTCATTTATATTAAAAACAGTATAGTTTGTCATGTGTTGTTGCAGTGTTCTCAATACATGCTCTCAAGGTTTACGTAAGTAGATGTTGCAACATCCTGTCTTACCAACAAGTCCTTGCTTTGCGGAAATATAAAATGTATTGTCCTGTAAATTGTTACTTGAAAGACTTGTGTGTACAGGACTGCTCATGTGAGTTCAGTTGTGTTCACTATGTTTGCACACTTAGCATAATGCACTTTACCTGCGTGGAGATGTAAGAATTTTCAGGCTAAGACTTTAAAAGGCAATTTCTTGCTTTGCAGTTTGTTAATGTAGAGGGGTATACATATATGAAATTCAGTATATTGTGTATATAATTGTATGTGTTAAAGCTAAGCATCTGAATATCTGAAAAATTAAGCTAGAAAGTTGTCTGTCATTGTACAGTCTTGCTGTGATGCAACTTGATTACACTTACCAAAGGTTTGCACCTGCTAGCAATTGAGTTGCCCAGCTCAACTAAAATAAACTTTGTCATTGAAAATCTAGGGTGGTGCTACTCTAAAACAACCATATAAGGTGCAAGTGTCATAAAAATGAGTCACTGCCCCCCCTCGGAAGCCTTAGACACAATGTGGTATGACAGTAATTGAACAGTAGAGATTGTGTTTGCAGCACCCCTCCCTACATAACATTTCTGGAAACAGTGTATAAAGGGTGCAGAATCTGCAGAGTCTGGTGGGCATAGCCGTGTGCTGAGCTGCAGGTACCCAAAGCAATGGAATTTTGAACAAGTGGTAGAAACTGCATAGTGTGCTGGATGATTTTTCTATGCGTTACATGCATTATACTTCTTATTCTGAACTGTTATGTGATCTTTGTATGGTTTGTTGTTGTTGTTTTTAATAATTAAAAAATTCCTTTGTAGTAAGGACTCTGGCCTTCTCAGTCATATTCCTTTGAAAAATGAATGGCTTTGAAGAGTGCTGTTTTAAATAGGTTGTCATATAAATAATTTCAATCATGGTATTTTGTTGTTTTATGAACATCTCTAAGTTAAATTTAACGTAACTTCTCAGGGAATATTACCATGATATATTTTCTGACAATCCAAAGGAATAAGGACATTGCATCGGTCTGAGTGCTCGCTAATCTGAAACATCTAATGTTTGTTAACCTGGTGGTTCAGGACTGTATTGGTTAGCTCTTTCAAATTCCAGGTGTATATATATATATTTTTTTCCTAAGGAGTGTAACTTTTTCTAGAAACACTAATTTGAAGCAATTTTTTACTTCTGTCAGAAACATAGTGCCCAAGGTAACAGACTAAAATTCAATGTAGCACCAAGATGTCTTATAAAGTCATTAACATATAAATTGACTTGTAACCATACATCTGTATGTATGTATATGGTCACTGATTTTTATGGCTTCGTGCATTTTGTGTGTGTACATTTTATATACACTTTTTGTCTTTCTGGAGGAGGGTAAAGGGAGAGCCTTGAAAAGTCCTTCCCTGCGCTTATCAACATAGCAGCCTCAGCTGCCCTTCTTGGATCCCCTGCCAGGGTTGCTATCATCTTCTGATCAAATATTAATGTGTGATTCTCTGCTTGCTCACTAATCCAAAGCCAATTAATATTATCTGTCAATTATTTACAGATCCTGAGGTGCGGAGGCAATTCCCAGAGGACTACAGTGACCAG